TTCATTCTTGCTTTCATTTGTCAATAAACTGTGTATGTATGTATTCAAAAATTTAGATACTTATAGATAAATAAGAGTACCAATGGGAAAGGTCTCTCTAGTTAAGTAGTTAATATGTAACAAACTGGGGTGGGAGGTCAAGTCAATTAATGAGAAAAATTGCAAATTTACCAGCAAGAAATAAATTGTTTCAACATACCGGCAGATTGTTATAGAGCTCAGGAGGGTAAAATTAAATATATAGCAACAAATCAAGTAGTAGGCTGAAGATTGACCAGATATTATAATAAATACCTTGCTACATTGGAAGATATACACACACACACACACACACACACACACACACACACACACACAGATAGATATCATTACCTTGTTAGAGTAGCTTTTTGAGACTGTTTTGATCAATAACAAAATTTACATACATTTGGGGAGAGGGAGGAAGAGTAATACAAAAATGTGCTAGACATTTATTTGGTTTCTACCAGGTCATTTAATGAGATAGCTACCACTGTTTCATAGCTTTCAGAGACTAGAAGTCTGGTCAAAGTGATTAGTGTTTCAAAATTGGATCTGGTCACACATAGTCAGTAGCAGATTCTTTTTAGTAGTCTAGAAGCCTTATCAGGCATGTTCCTTTGTCTCTGATACCCCTGAATTAAGATCATTTTTTCCTTCCCCAAATCTCTCCAGACACTTTGCCTGGACCTCTTCTTTGCATTTCCATATCTCACCTCTCCCTTGTATCAGTTGTTACTATACTTGTCTTTTCTCCCCACCTCTATTAGATCATAAGTTCCTTGGGATCAGGTCTTATGTCAGATCTATCTTCATAGCTCCAGTACCTACCAGTTTCTTATAGAGGTGTGATGATTTTATTGAAAAAGTAGGACAGAAAATAAGAAATTTTACACTTCTTTTCTGTCTGATGATTATGCTAGTTTGGGTAGAATGTCGGAGTAAATTTTTTTTTTAATCTGATAGATGATTCTTATGACACTGAGGTTGTTTAGTCAAGATTTGTTAACTACGCCATGTATAAAGCTATTGTTATATTGGTAGGATGAGGGAAGTGGGAGTGTGCTATAGACAGAGAAAATGTGTCTATGTCTTAGGGACTTGTAATTTTTGTAGAGGGAATATAGAGATTAATAAGAATAGGTCACCAAAGAAAGAGTGTAAAGGGACATGCAAAGGACAAATGTGTTGCTATAGCATTTAATAAATATATACATACATACACATGTGATCCTTTTTTTTAAAAAAACTGTAACAAGTTCATCATTTTATATACAATTTTCTTTCTTGTTCTTTGTATGATGAAATGTTTGCTTTCAATTAATTGTTAAATTCACAGTAAGAGTTATTTTTTTAAGAATAGGGAAAAACAAAAAAGGAAGGAACATATACCACAACTGAATAAGAAGTATACACAAGAATGATAGAAAAAAAAAGTCTGGCCATCTAACTGGAACCATTCACTCTCAAATTTAAATATACCAAAAATGAATTGCTCCCAGAGCCCTATGGCTCTCAAGTCAGCTTTATGTCTACAACATTGCCAGTCTCTAGATCTTTCCATTTCTTCACCTGCTTTTTATGGGCAACATCAACTTCAACAAGGGTTAAGAAGCCTTTCAATCTTTAGTTCTCTCAGTTAAGAGTTACAGGGCTCATTCCCCAACTGATAGATGATCAAAGGTTATGACTAGGCAAATTTCAGAGGAAGAAATTAAAGCTATCAGTAGCCATACTAAAATGCTCTAAACAGCTAATAATTAGAGAAACACAAATCAAAACATTTTTGAGGTACCATCTCACATCTGTCAGATTGGCTAAGATACCAAAAAAAAAAAAAAAAGGAAAATAGCAAATGCTGGAGGGAATGTGGGAAAATAGACACATGATTCACTGTTGGTAGAGCTGTGACCTAGTCCAACTATTCTGGAAAGCAGTTTGGAAGTATGCTCAAAAGACTATTAAACTGTACGTGCCCTTTGACCTAGTAATAGTATTACTAGGTCTATACTCCAAAGAGGTCAAAGAAAGAATAAAAAGGGTTTATATGTACAAAAATATTTATAACAGTTCTTTTTGAAGTATTAAAGAAATGGAAACCGAGAGGATGCCCTTCAATTGGAGAATGACCAGAATTATGGCATATGAATGTGATGGAATACTATTGTGCTATAAGAAATGATGAAGGAAATAGTTTTAGAAAAATCTAGGAAGACTTATGTGAACTGATGTGAAGTGAAATGAGCAGAACCAGGAGAACAATTTAAGCATTAATTGCAATCTTTTAAAGATAATCAACTTTCAAAGACTTAAGAACTCTGATGAACAATGAACAAGCACAATCAATCAATCAATAAAAATTTATTAGGTGCCATCATATTGGACTACTTGTTCCTTAGATATTACCTGGCCTTTCTTGCCTCCATGCCTTTGTTTATGCTGTTCTTATCATTGGAATGTTTCCTGCCTTATCATGTAACCTCCTTGGGCCTCAATTTCCTCAACTTTGAGGTGATGTGATTCAACTTAGTTCCTTCCAGCTACAGATCCATAATCCATCCCAATTTTCCCCCAATTTCCATGTCCAGCTGCCAAAATCCTATGAATCCTAAAAGGTCTTGTTTAAATATTATTGCCTCCAATAAGGCTTTCCTGATTCATCAACTCCAAATTCATGGAAAGACTAAGAGGAGAGAACACGACACTCTGCCTAGAAAAGTACATTTATTTTGCCTATCCTTGATTTATCTTGCTATGAAACCTTGAAAGACTGGAAATTAAGAAATCTTGATCCCCATACTGGCCCTGCCATTAATTAGCTACAAAACCCTTAAAGTTGCTTAATTTCTGGACCTTTTTCCTCTGAAATGAGAGTTTAGATGATCTCTGTAGCTCATATAAAGAGACAGGATGGAAGAATGAATAAGGAGCAGGTCTTAGAATCAAGGAGACTTTGGGTGAAGTCTTAACTCTGATACATGTTAGCTTGTGGGTCCTGGCCAAGGCTGGTGCAGATCTAGATTGCTAGAGGAAATTCCTCTAATTCTCTAATTTATAAAATCACCTTTTTCTCTCTTTCTCTGTCTTTCTCTCTTTCTCTGTCTTTCTCTGTTTCTCTATCTCTCAGATTAAGTGGCAGAGCAGTTTAAGGTCGACATTCGTAAAGGAAGATTGGTTCCCAGGGGATCCCCTACACCAATCAAGTCAGAGATCTGATTTTTTTAAAATACCTCAAGTCATTTTATTTCTCAATCTTTTTTCTTCATTTATAAAGGATGCACAATGTTTTGTACTTACCTCAAGGGTAAGGAGGACCAGGTGAGACAATGTATAAAAAATCTCCTTTGCACACCATAAAAACACTAAGTTTCAGCTACTGTATGATTCTATGACTACTATTTTAGCTTTTTTTTTTTGGCAGCTAGGTGGTACAGTGGATAGAGCGCCAGCCCTGGAGTTAGGAGAACCTGAGTTCAAGTCCAGCCTTAGACACTTACTAGCTGTGTGACCCTGGACAAGTCACTTAACCCTGTTTGCCTCAGTTTCCTCATCTGTAAAATGAACTGGATAAGGAAATGGCAAACCTCTCCAGTATCTTTACCAAGAAACCCCAAATGGGGTCACAGAGAGTCTGACATGAATGAAACAACTCAATAACAAAATTACCATGTTTTATTCATCTTTGTGCCCAAATATCAGCTGAATGAATTAGCTCAAACAACCTGAAACAGCTGTCTCTATTTGCTGTTTTAAAGTTCAGAAGCACTTTTTTAAAAAGACTTAACAGGATTCTCTTCTATCCCCAGGGCCTTGCACTATTCTCAGTTTCCTAACTTTCAACCCTGGCTAACTCCTCCTATCTGACTTTTCTATTCCTGCTCCTGGACTACTGAACACTACTAAAGAAAATAATGAATCCTCCTGACTTCATCCACTATAAGCTCATGACGCAAAATTTCAGTTGGTTATTCACTGCTGTTCTATTATCCTTCTATGTGACTCTTATGGACTCCCTATCATATTTCCCAGAGAGATTGTAACAAATCTTTTCCTTTCAATGTCAACCTTGTTCATGAAGTTTCTACTGGGTTCATTAATATGTTGTTGATAGAGCTGCTAACAGTGTTGAAAGCAATCTAGAACTATGCTTAAACAGTGAGGTGGAGGAAGAGGGGAGCAGCTGATCACCCTCTCTGTCTAAGGTTATATAATACACATGTTCAAAGGAACCATAACATTTGATTTTGGCTTCATTGTCCGTCCTAGTATTAAAGCCTTGAGGTCTCTAACCTGTGACTAAGATTGGCCTCATTCAGCATCCCATAGTCTGCTGTATTGATTAGTTGATGTACTGGATAGTTTTCCCCCTCTTTTTTTTTTATTTGTTGTAAGGGATAGCTTTCTGAGTGGATGAGGGGAACAGATTGAGAAATGAAGGTGATATAAAAATAAAATATGTGAATAAAAATTTTAAACTAAACAGACTTAACAGGTTTCTCCCCTGGGAAAGCCCCAATTCTCCCTTAGCATGCTTAACTACTAAAAAAGCAAGAGAAAAACTTATTGGATCAGCTAAAAGAAGGTGACTTTTGAAAATCTGAGATGCCACATAAACAACCATTTAAGTGCATATGTGCCAGACACCATGCTAATTGCGTAGAGCACATGTATGACATGAGCCTAAAATGCTGGGAGTCTTAAAAATAAGAAGTCAGAACACATGAATTTGAGAATTTATTAGCAACAGGAAAATTGCAGCATGAAGTGATACAATCTCATTATAGTCTCTATCTCACCTCTTGATCACTCTTGTGAGAGTCCAAGAGAAAATTATATCTACTGGCAACCTCCTTTGCTTAAATCATATTTAATATATTGATCCTTGAGGTGGCTAACATGAACAAACAAAATTAACAAGATTAGATTCTCTTTCTACCAGATTAGAAATTCTAATCCAGTTCATAGATTAGTACTCCTGTCATTCAGAATCGGCTCTGCCACGGTCCAGCTTGGTTCTTAAATGTCTTCAGGGATTTGGCCGTCACAGGAGCAATTTCTAGAAGGAAAAAAAGACAATTACACAAAATGCTAACGTTCTCAATCTGGAAACAATCCTAGAGGCCATTTATTGCTTTTAACTAATATCTCAAATGACTAGGTATACATAATAAAATACCATACTTTCCCCCCATCAGTTCCTTCAGACAAACAAAAGCAGAAGGGGAATGGAAAGTAAGCTGAATTTGAAATCAGAGGATCTAGGTTCGAATCCTGACTCCACACCTGTGTGCCTTGGGTATGTTATTTCTCTTCTCTAGGCCTTAATTTCCTCATCTCCAGAATAAGAGAGGTTTGGGTTCGATTAGGTTATCTTCTAAACTTCTTTCCAGCTCTAAATCTATTATGCTAAACCAATTTCCTCATTCTGTGATGCATGATGATTATATTTTTCCCTTACCCAACTAAAGGCAAATTTGAACATTGTTAATGAAGGGTTGAAATGTTCTGCATGCACTGAAAGACAGTAAGAGTCATGCCCCACAGTTCCCAGGTGTGGGGGAAGCCAAGTGTGGCTTAGCTCTCATTGACACTGTCTCCAAGGGTGTGCTTGTCAAAAAGATATTTTGCCATGCCAGGTTGGTTACGTGATTCATGTGTTCCGACTTCTTATTTTTAAGGCTCCCAATGTTTTAGGCTCATGTCATACGTGTGCTCTGCACACTTAGCATGGTATCTAGCACGTATGCACTCAAATGGTTGTTTGATTATATGATGTCTCAGACTTTCAAAAGCCACCTTCTTTTAGCTGATTCAATATGCTTTTCCCTTGCTTATTTAGTAATTAATCATGCTAGGGGAGAATTAGGGCTTTCCCAGGGGAGAAACCTGTTAAGTCTGTTTAGTTTAAAAATTTTATTCACATATTTTATTTTTATATCACCTTCATTTCTCAATCTGTTCCCCTCATCCACTCAGAAAGCTACCTCTTATAACAAAGGAAAAAAAAAAGAGGGAGTAAATTAGTTCAATAAAACTACCCAATACATAAACATAATCAGTTGATTGATGGATTTTAACTGTTCATCCACATTTCTCACATCTGGAAGCCTTTACACTAACTTGAACCATTTTTTTAAACTGGACCCATGATTTCAATGACATGCAGATCACAGGGTGAGGAAACTCTAGCAGTACAGATCAGCCCTATAACTGCTGTAGTCTTAATGAATTATAGGTGGTACTAAGTGTTTAAGGGGCTTGATTAGGGTGATAAAGTCAGTATGTGCCAGACACAGGACTTGAATTCAGGTCTTCCTGGTTCTGAAAACAGCTGTCTATCCATTGTGCAATACTCTCTCTAAATCTGAACCATAATATCTGAAAAATGTGAGGATGGGGGAGGACGACCTTAGTTGAGGCAGACTTACTTTTCACCCTTTTTGCATCTTGCTGTGATTCCCCAGACGCACTGGTATTTGCTGCTGCCACACTATCACTTTCTGAATCATTTCTCTCTTCATTTGCAAGCTTTCTTTTGCTGAAGAGAAAAAAATAGATTAACTCAGTTTCCCTCCTCATAGAGAGACAGGGGCAGGATGTGGTCAGAGATAAGAATACACTTAAATCATGATTTCTCAAGTCAATTAGACAATTAAATATCCAGGAATTAGCCCACCTTTCGTTCATTACTCCCCTGATCACCACAGTCAGAGTAATCAGAGCAGAAAGTATCTGTACAGGTCTGAAGACCAAAGCTAACAGCAGGTGCTTCAGCACAGCACAGCCTAAAGGTGTGTTCCCCAGAAATTTAGGAATACAGTGACCTCTAGTGGACATCCTAGTCAATAGGCAGAATTCATCAGCAAGGACAGTATTACCTAATTACTGGTTTCAAATGGGAAAGATTAGGTCAAACCTCTCCAAGGTCCAGAGATGTAGGGGTGTGTGTGTGTATGTGTGTGTGTGTGTGTGTGTGTGTGTGTGTGTGTGTGTGTGTGTGTACCTGTAGGAGATGGAGAAGGTGAGGAAGAAAATGCTATGAAAATGAATAAAACTATTTTTTCTCTTTTCCATTTTATTTTTATTTCTGATAAATTTAGAGTTGGAAGGGAACTCAGAGGCCATCATATCCAAACTCCTTATTTTACAGACGAGAAACTGAGGCCCAAGGAGGTTAAATGACTCACCTAGTAGTAGGCAGATGTAGGATTTGAGCTCATGTCCTCTAACACTAGAGCTGACTCTTTCTACTATACCACACTACTTGCTTTCCAAATATACCCCTCCATCTTCCCCTACCAATGAACTAGCTGGCCTGGAGGGACCACATTTTGCAGTATAGTTGAATTTACAGTTCCACCAATAGTGCATTAGTGTGCCTGTCTTCCCAATAGTGTTTTCATAGCATGAAAGTGATAAATGTTGGAAGAATGTATGTCATCTTTGCTAATCTAATGAATGTAAGTTGACATCTCAAGTTATTTTAACTCGCATTTCTCTTCTTATTAGTAATTTAGAACTGATCATCATTTCCCCATAAAACCGGCAATATTCGAAACATCAAAGAGAAAAAAGTAGGCTGAAACAGTGGAAAGAGCAGTAAGGATAGAGACATAGATAGTATTCCTAGTTTGGCCATGGAATGACTTTGGGCAAATTATTCACTTTTCCAGACCTCAGTTTTCTCCTTCATAAGCTTGATATTAGATAAAGTTGTAGAGTGCTTTATAAATTATAAATTACTATCCATCAGAAAATCCATTAAGCATACTATACCCAGAGAAAGTAGGGTGCTAAGTACTGGAAGAGGAGGTATAAAACTGAGATGAGACCCCAGTGGTCTCATGGAAAAATGAACTCTTTTTACACTCTCCCCTCCCACCCCAGTTAGACTAGTGTACTCCTGATACTCACCTGAGTTTGTTAAGAGGAATTGTAGATGAACCGCATCTCTCTGGATGACCTCTGAGTTCTCTAGGAGGTTTTGCCACACCCTGAACGTAGGCCATTTCGACCAGATGCCCTAAATAAGAAGGAACCAGGAGGAGTGTAAGTCTTAACATATAATGCAGCTGGTGTAGGTTTAGTGCCCAAGGATTTTCGGGTTTTTTTTTTCTCTGACTTACAGAAATGTAAACAGTAATTTTGCTAGCCTAAAAAAGAGCTAAAGTCTTTTGTAAATTTAATCACCAAATATAAACATTTCAATATGCAAAAATAAGAAAGGATTATTTAAGACATATGGACTTGGCAGAGTTACAATAAACAAACACGCACACAGACACATCAATGTAAAATGTAATAAGGTAGGAACAGTCTGCTAAAGAATCAAACCCAGTCTAATTTCTGGGCATTAAGATTTCCAAACAAAATATGATTACTAAAAATGAACAGCAAGTGAAGACCAAAGACCTGACCCTAATTCACTCTTCAAGAAAAAGGGAGGGAGGAGCTTTCCAGAAAATTTACTGACATGGAGAGTTCTGGCTTTAGAGTCAGAAGACCTAGGTTCAAATGCTGCCTCTGACACCTACTACTACTTGTATGACCTTGTATAAGTCTCTTAACCTTTCTGGGTCTCAGTTTCCTCATCTGTGAAACGAAGGAGTTGGATTAGATGGGCTCTGAGGGCCCTTTTAGCTCATATTTGTGGATTCGTTTTTCTGTTCAATTGTTTCAGAATAATTTTTGTTTATTATTGGCAGTGGGAAAGTTATTTTTGATAGCACCTGTCTGGATTAGTCACTAGCTATATAACCTTGGGGAAGTCATTGGACTTCTCTGAATCTCATTTTCTTCACTTTAAAAATGGGAATTGTAGGTTTTGTGAAAAATGGGAATTGTAGATCTAGAAGAAGGGACCCTTGAGGCCAGTTAGTTTAACTGCCTCATTTCACAGAAAGGGAATCAGATCTTGAGAGGTTAAGGGAATTTCCCAAGATCCCACAAGTAAATAGTGGAGACAAGATTTAAATCTGTGTACTCAAGCTCCCAGTCCAACACACTGTAGGCCCATCTAACAGTGTTGTTGTGAGATTGAAGGAAGGTAATATATATGTGAAGAATTTTATAAACTTTGAATCATATATTAATTATCACTGCCACTTTTTTGGATATGCAACAATCCTAGGAACAAATAAAAATCTCATACTGAATCCACTAAGTGCTTTGGAAAAGTTTTCTCACAGTACCCATTCCAAAAAAAAAGTTTAATTTAAAAATAAACTAAAAATAAGTTTTAATTAAATAATACATTAGTCGTTTGTGGCTACAATTACATGTAACAAGTAGGTTTTGCAGGGGGTAGAGATGGAGAGTTAGAGATGAGGATAGTGATAAGTGATGCCCAAAAAATGAAGAAAAAGAAAAACATTAAAGAATCATTTAAGAATACACAGAAGTGAGCATGAGAAAGTTCATAAGGGAAATATTGTGACTGCCACATTAGATTTGAAACATATTTTAAAAATGAGTTGTATAGAATGGAGATTCATGGTTTCATCTTCTTCAATTCTACATATGAGAAAATGTTCACATTGGTTGATGTTTATCATGTTTATATTAATAAAAAGAAAAATTCCAAAAGAAGAAAACAAGTAAAACAAAAAAAAAGTTAACTACCTTTGGGTTTTTCAGACTGCGACAAAATGATGTTCTTTGTGAGGGTCTTCAATTTTTGCTCTCTCTGATCAAAAAGCCTAAAGTACATTTCACGCCATGATTCATCATCCTGGCGCTGCTCGTTTTTAAATTCTCTCTGGCAATGTCTCTTCCACAAATGATCAGCCAGTTTGATAAAGGTCTTAGAAGAGGTGAAAACCAAAAGGATTCCATTAATGACTCGACCTTCCCCAGCCTTCTGAGATATCATTTCTTTTTTTAATAATTTTTTTTACCAATTATATGTACAGATAATTTTTAATATTCTTTTTTTTTAAATTTTGAGTTCCAAATTTTCTCCTTCCCTCCCTCTCCTTCCACCTCCCTGAGATGGCAAGCAATTTGATATAGGTTATACATGTGCAATTATGTAAAACATTTCCATATTAGCTGAGACATTATTTCAATGAATGACCCCACATAATATACTAGGAAGGGTTTATTGGACTTGGATTCAGGAAGACCTGGATTAAAATCCTGCCTCAGACACTTACTAGCTCTGTGACCCTATGCAAGTCATTTAATCTCTCTTAGCCTCAGTTTCCTTATGTGTAAAATGAGAGCATTGGGCTCCGTAGCCTCTAAGGCCCCTTCCAGCTTTAAATCTATGATGGTGCAATCCTCAAGATGCCAAGTTTTGACTTTTGCAGCAACGTCATAAGTTACTAAATCACTTCTGTATAACGGTATCCATTAAGTGGACCTGGGTTTGAATCCTTGCTTTGCTTCAGAATAATACCTTCTGGCACTAAAATCCTTATGATTCTGTAATTAACCAAACCATAGCACATTCTAAGCTGTATGTCCTGTTATACAAGATTAGAGAGGATTGATTATAGAAGCCAATATGCAGTTAGCTTTAGAAAAAGACCCTAAAGATATTTTTGCTTTATAAATAAATTGGTTTTAAATGTAAGATTTTATTTAGATCTGTTATAATATGATTATAAATCTGTAGGTGCTTATTAATATCCCTACTTTATCCCTACACCTGTGAAAGATAGGACAGTGGAAAGAGAGAGCAGACCTAAGCACCAGAGGACTTGCATGCCACTTCTGACATCTACTAGCTGGGTGACTCTGGGAAAATCACTTAACCCCTTAGGGCCCCAGGAAACATTCCAAGACTTTCTCAGTTATAGGGAAAGTACCAGCCACCATTGATAAAGGAAGTTCCACATAGGGAGCTCCTTACACCAATGAATTCACAGGTCCAGTCCCTATCCCTGGCAAAGTGTCTTTCAGAGTATGGGCTTAATAAATGTTGGACATACAGAATTGAGGCACGATGAAAGATTAAATTATTTTCATGCTCCACATAGGAAATAGTCTTGATATTTTTGTAGTCAAAAGCCTGAGCTTTATGTCATAATGGACACGCAAAAGCATTCCACAGAGGTAGCTAGGTGGCACCATGGTTAGAGCGCTGGACCTGGAATCAAGAAGACCTGAGTTCAAATCCTGCCTTAGACGCTTACTAGCTGTGTAACCCTGGACAAGTCACTTAACCTCTGCTTGCCTCAGTTTCCACATCTATAAAATACAGATAATAATAGCACCTACCTTCCAAAGTTGTGAAGATAAAATTAAATAAAATTTGTAAATGCTCTGCCAACTGTAAAGTGCTATATAAATAGAGCTTTTATTATTATTTTTGGATTATCAATAATAATGACAGCTTCAGTCTGCCTTAAGTTCCTTATCTGTAAAATCGGGATAGAATCGCACCTACCTCGCAGGTTTGATGTGAGAATAAAATGAGATTATACTTATAAAACACTTGGCAAATCTAAAAACATTATATATAAATGCTAGCAAGTGTTTTATGGCTGTTCTTGTTACTTCTTCTTCTTGTGTTCGCTTGTGTCCAGCTCTTTGTAACCCTGTAGACTATACAGTCCGTGGAGTTTTCTTGGCAAAGATACTGGAGTGATTTGTCATTTCCTTCTCCAGAGGACTAAGTTAAACAGAGGTTAAGTGACTTGCCCAGGGTCACACAGCTAATAATTGTCTGAGGCTGGATTTGAACTCAGGTCTTTCTGACTCCAGGTCCAGTGCTTTATATCCACTGCACCATCTAGCTCCCCCATTACGGTCACTACTCATCACTTAAGGGGGATAGTTCTAATAAAAATCATTGTAATAGAAATATTTGGCTCTCAGGATAGACTGATCAGAGCAAAATAAGGTCAGGTAGAGCCATAGAACCACGCCTCGAGCTTTATTCACACTACTCTGCTAGCTCACATTTGTACAGCATTTTTGCAAACCTTAATTTTTTTTGGGGGGGGGTGAGGCAATTGGTGTTAAGTGACTTGCCCAGGGTCACAAAGCTAGTAAGTGTCAAGTGTCTGGTCTGAGACCGGATTTGAACTCAGGTCCTCCTGACCCAGGGCCGGTGCTCTATCCATTGCGCCACCTAGCTGCCCCAACAACAGATCTGTGGGTAGCTCAAGCACTGTCGTTCCTCAATTTTCCAGATATGGAAATAGAGTCTCAGAGGGTAGAATGGAAAGAGTGTTGGATCTGGAGTGTGAAGACCTGGATTTGAATCCAGGGTCAGCAACTTACTCTCTGTGTAACCTTGGGGAAATCACCATACCTTGCTGGGCCTCAGTTGCTCTTCTATAATAGTGGCCTCCAGAGTGGGAGTCACGGCACTCGACCAGTTAGAGTTGGAAGATGGGTCATATCCCATTCTCCTGAGATAGCCAATAATTTATTTTATCTTTGTGATGCAATGAAGAGCAATTGCTCTGGAGTTGGAGGACCTGCGTTCAAATCCTTCCTCTCACGCTTATTACCTACATGATCTTGGGTGAGTTTCCTCATCTGTAAAAAGAGGGCACTGAAAAGACTGAACAACAGCACATATATCCATCTTAGGGCATCTCAGTGGCTAGAGAGGCATGGACCTGGAGTGAAAAGACTCATCCTCCTGAGTTCAAATCCAACCTTAGACATTTACTAGCTATGTGGCCCTGGGAAAGTCACTTAACTGTGTGCCTCAGTTTCCTCATCTGTAAAATTAGCTGGAAAAGAAAATGGCAAACCACTCCACTATCTTTGCCAAGAAAACCTTAAATGGGGTCTCAGAGAGTCAGATGTGACTGAAACAACCGAACAACAATAACAAAACAACAACAAAAAGAAGACATTGGACCAGATGACCTCTGACACCCCTTCCAACTCCATGGAAGCTGTGGCAGCTTCCAACTCTAGACCTGTGATTTCATTCCTTTTCTTTTTTGTGTATGTTTTTATAATTTACATAATAATAACAATAACTAACATTTACATGTTGCTTTACATTTTGCGAGTGTGTGAATGTATGTGTGTGTGTGTGTGTGTGTGTGTGTAAAATGGGAATACCCAGTATATATTCTTTCATTTGATGCCACCCTGTGAGGTAGGGTATTCCCATTTTACGGACAAGGAAACTGATGCTGACAAAGTTTAAGCACTCGTGGTCACATCACTAATAAGTGGCTGAGACAGGATTCAAACTCAGGACTTCTTAACTTCCAGTACAACTCTCTCTTCACTGTAAGTACACTAGTACACATATGTAATTTAAAAACATACACACACACACACACACACATATATATATATATACATATAAAATATATTAGGGAAAGCTAAAAAATTTTTACTGATAGGGCTATGTGATCAAAAAAATTTGGAGACATCTTATTAGCAAATGAGGGGATCAAATTAGACGTCCCTCCTCAGGGCCCTTCCAATTCTCTATGATCCTTTGACTCTAACCCAAGTCTTCTGACTCCAAGTCCGTGCTTGACTCTACCACACTGCTACCTAGATGGGCAATGGGTTAGTACCTAGGTGAATGATGGAGTTCAGCAAAATCCAAATTGGGCTTTGTTCTACTCTAAATTGTATGAATTTGGGTGATACAAAAGAACAGAAAGCTATTTAGCGCCGCCCAGTTCCCCAGTGAAATATCTCCCAGTGTATCAAGACTTCAATAAGATGGTTTGGGAGTGTATAGGAAAACATTTAGAAAAACCACAGGGAAGCTGAAACCCCACCACTTCTTCATTCCAGGAAAACCCAAGTTCTAGTTTTCAGAAGGAAAAATAAGATTGTTGTTGTTTTGTTGTGTCCCTCTCCCCTCGCCACCCCACCCTCCCCCCAGCCAACTGGTTCCGTCAAAACAGTCATTAGAAAGTCAAGCCACGCATTGCAGGTGGTGTTTACCGGATTATAATCCTCTATTCTTGACAATTGTTTGGGGGTACAGCATTCCAGCACTGGTTCGAGGACGTCAAAGGGGACGCCACCAACTTCATGGATCACTGTCAAACAACACAGAAGACTTCAGATTCTTTGAATATTCTTCACTAACAGTCATTGTTCTACTCAATTCAGATAAGCTTTCTCTGAGGGGTACATATGAAACAGACTGTGCTCTACAGACACAGGACTTGGTGGACTGACTGGTGGATGGGCAGCTACATAATAAGAAACAGGAAAATATACTTACCATCGATATTGTTTTGAAGTACATGGATACACCGTTTGTATAAAGAAAGCATCTGTGGAAGAGAAGTCATTTTAGATCCTGAAATAATGTACATTTTCAAATTCAGTCTCCAGCCAGTGAATTGGCCAGCATCACTGCCTGGGCAGTGCTGATCTTCCGCTGCTGGTGTTAAACACAATTATGCCCTCCCTTCGATATTGTCCCTACTGGAGCTGCTAGGTGGCACAGTGGAGGGAGTAGAGTCAAGAAGACCTGAGTTCAAATAGCTGTGTGTCCCTGGGCAAGTCACTTAACCTTTGTTTGCCTCAGTTTCCTCAACTGTAAAATGAGGATAACTGCACCTACCTTGAAGAGTCATTGTGAGGGTAAAAATGAGAAGATATTTGTAAAATGCTTGGCACACTGTAGGTTCTATATAAATATGAATTCTCTTCCTTTCCCACTGCCTTCATTCCCTGCCCCAAACCATGGCTGGGTCCTTTATGGGCTTTTCAACATGGTTATAACCTAATCTAATCCACGTTTTAGTCCAGCTGTATAGGTAAAATTCTGACCACCCCTACCACCAACATTATTTCCCAATAATCCTGTGGCAGTGGCCGGTAAGCCTCCCCCCACCTCAATGCACACACACACACACACACACACACACACACACACACACACACTTTTCATTTTGAATGAGTAGCGCAGGATGAGTAGGCCTGGATGGGTTGAGATTACATCATCTTTCCTTCCAAACTCATTCTGCTTCCTAGCTTCCCCATTTCCCCCCATCATCCTTGATGTGAAGACCATAATCTATAATCCTATGACTTTCAAAGGGACATATCTCTTCAGATGTCTTACTAATACCTCAAAAAATAATAGCTAGTGTTCATATAGTGCTTTAAGGTTTGCAAAGCACTTAATAAATACTATCCCATTTTATCCTCACAACAACCCCTGGGAAGTAAGTGCTATTATTATCATAATTTTACAAATAAGAAATAGGAAGCAGAGATTAAATTATTTCCGCAGTGTCACACAGTTAGTTACTATCTGAAGATAGATTTGAACTCAAGACTCCCTGACTCCTGTCTCCCTGTAACACCTAGCCACAAAATGTAACATGTCCCCAAACTGAGTTCACTTTCTCATCTCTCTTCCCAATCTCTTTATCTAATATTAATAGCACTAGCATCCCAATTACCTGAGATTAAAAATCTCAGGGACATTTTTGGATGTGGGCAGGGTTGGGGTGGGGCAGTGAAAGAGAAAGAAGGCTCAATCATCAACATTTATTGACTGTGCTTCACTTAATAATAACAGCTAACATTTACATGAGAGCAGCTAGGTGGTGCAGTGGATAGAGAACTGGACCTGGAGTCAGGAAGACCTGAATTCAAATCTTGCCTCAGACACTTACTAGCTATGTGATCTTGGGCAAGTCACTCAACTCTGTTTACCTCAGTCTCTGTATCTGTAAAAATGAACTGGAGAAGGAAATGGCAAACCACTCCACTATCTTTGCCAAGAAAATCCCAAATGGGGTCATGAAGAGTCAGACACGACTGAAAAATGACTAAACAACAACTACATTTAAGTAATAGTATAAGGTTTGCAAAGAATTATCTACATATTACTTCATTTGATTCTCACAACAATCCTTTGAGAAAGCTACTATAATCTTCATTTGACAGATGAGGAAACTGAGGCCAGGAGGTTAAGCAATTTGCCCAGGATCGCACAACTAGGAAGCAACTGAGAAAGGATTCAAAGTCAGGTCTTCCTGACTCCAAGTCCAGAACTCCATTTACTGTGTCACCTCTGTAATATCGCTTATATCCAGCCCTCCTCCTCTATTCACACTAACACAACCCTATTTCAAGTCCTCATTGCCTCTCACTTAGATTACTAAAGCCTATCTCCTTTCCTCCAGTTTCTCCCCTTTGTAACTGATACTTCACACAACTGCCAATGTCTTCCTAAAAAAAGGCATCCAATTCCATTAATCCTCTGCTCTAAAACAAACCTTCATTGTTTTCCTATAGAATAAAATATAAACTCCTTAGCTTCACATGAAGTACTTCTATAATTTGACCCCAACTTACCTATGAAGCCTTAGTTCATTCTTTTTTCCCTTCCGGTACTCTGTGTTCTGGGCAAAGTGGATGACTGATTGTTTTCTGATCTCCTACTGCCGTCCCACCTTTATGAAGTCACATAGGTGATTCCTGCCTATCTGTGGAAATTCTTATCTTCCTTTAAAGCCCAACTCAGGTATTACTTCTCCCATGAAGTCTTCCCTGATTCCCTGTCCCATTCCCCCTTCACATACCTAGCTGAAAATGATTCTTTCTCTCCTCAGGTACTATGTCACTTTGCCTGAACCTCTGACTTACCGTTTTTTAAAATTCTATTCTGTATCCTCTCTCCATTCTACAACATAGTTTCTTAACACTGAAGACTTTTAACAATTTATATCTACATTGGCTAATTAATGTTAGATGTGGTATAGTAAGTGCCTCTAACAAGTTAACTCAAAAGTGGTCATTGCTTCTGGTTTGCCCATTTTAAATGAGGTTTCAGATTTTTTTAAGTTCTAGAAAACAGTATGTTTGAGAACTATGGATCACATGTCTAGAATTGGAAGAGACTTGGGTTATCTACTCCAGTCGCCTGATTTTATAGATGAAAATTTCAAGCAAGCAGTTGACATTAAGGCATTGGAGCTCAGGGCAGAGACATTGGGCATAGAGATATTGAACAGTAATCATCTGCATAGAGAAGATAATTGAACAGGAAGGGTTGTCAAAGGAAAGAGAAAGTATATCTTGAGAAAAGAGTGCCAAGATCAGGGTTTTGAAGGATAGCCACAGAGGGTAAAATGTAGAAAGAGGAGCCATGATATAGTTTTAAAGAACCAGGAAGAAATAATACCAGAAAAAGATAGAACATCCAAAGGAGCAATAGAATAGCAAAGGTGTAGAACACACAGTTCTTACACTATTAACGAAACATTTAACAGTTGGTCTCTAAATGTAAAATTCTTTATCAAACCAGTGAATTGAAAATCCACAGTGGGGCAGCTAGGTGGCGCAGTGTATAGAGCACTGGCCCTAGAGTCAAGAGGACCTGAGTTCAAATCCAGTCTCAGACACATAACGCTTACTAGCTGTATGATGCTGGGCAAGTCCCTTAATCCCATGGCCTAGCCAAAAAAAAAAAAAAAAGAAGAATGAAAATCCACTAGAGGAAATCATCCATATTCACATGGAATCAAATGGATCTATGAACACATTGTGGTTGTCCCCAGCCATAATCCATCCATGCTTGCTTATCCTAAGATGATAATTACCTATGTCTTGCCACTGGACTCTGATGACTTGAGGAGAAACTGAAGCTTATGGCTTTGCACAGCCCTGCCTCACTTAAATCCAATTCACTTGCAAGTCAAGACATCACCTTCCTGATGTCATTGATCATCTTTGAGAATTAAGGATAAACAACAACAACAGCCAGCATCTACACAGCATTTTAAGATTTTGCAAAGTAATTTATAGATTTATGATTTTATACTCATGACTCTAGGAGAGAGGTGCTATTATTTTCCCCATTTAATGGACGAGGAAACTGAGGCAAACAGAGGTTAAATGACCTGCCCAGAGTCACACAGTTAGTGTTTGAAACTAGATTTTAATTCAGGTCTTCCTGACTGCAGGCCCAGTGCTTTACCCACTGAACCACCTAACTGTCCTATGCAATTCTTCTCTAGGTCTTCCAATAAATCCTCCAGAGAGGGCCTGCATAATATTCTAAGAGCCTTCCTTGCTCTACTTTAACATGATGAAGAGAGGAGAGTAGAAGAATACAGGTTGTCCATTGCATATTCTTTATTCTTACTATGTAATTAACCCATCTTTTTGAATCACATTTCTTTGACATCTTTTCTTTGGGTTTTCTTCTATTATGTGTTGGAGCCTGGTCACATTCACCAGGCATCTCTTCAATGTGCTGAGGGAGTCTCATTTCCTGTTCTTTGGAGATTGCAACATCCCATATCACCTAACAATATAACACAAGTAGAATGCTGATATAAAAAAAAATGGGCCTTTTTTTTGGGTCACTAAATGATCTTTGTATTTTCCCCAAAAGCCACTCTCTGCCTCCCATTTAATTCTAGACCCAACTCAGTGTCTACTTGCAATGTCAGTCCAATATATATGGAGTGATAGAGGAGCTCTGTAGGTTGTCCGCCTAATCCCAATGCCATAATATAGACAAGAATTGCCCTTCATCCTCTTGATTTTTCCTAAGTAGATAGGTCAAACTCTTGAGCCATGTTGGATCTTGTCCAAGGTGCTTAAAACCACCAGCATAATGTCATCTGCAAATAGGAGGATGTAGCCCAGTTTTGTCGAATTCAAAAGAAACAGAGACACTAAACCCATCAGGACCCAGGAAGGTTGTAAATTGACTTAGAAAGCTTCATATTAACACTATCTCTTTTCTATTGTTTTTATTTATTTTGTTAATATTTTCTAATTAAATATCATCAGAGTTTGACAACTCTGAAGTAAATTAACTCAATCTCTGTTAGGACCCGCTCCACCTTGGATTCTGTGCTGAATATCCTCCATGATAACTGCAAACAGCTTTGGCAAGCGTACATCTCCCTATTTCATACCTGATAAAATACCTGATATTAACAATAAAAGGTTTGTAGGGTAATGTTCCCTAGTTTATCTTTCAATGCAAGGAATCTTGCATAATTTTGGTGGCTGTATGGAAGATATCTTGCTGGAATAAAGCCTTTAAGATAGTATTTTGCTCTACTGAATAAAAATGTTCCCTTCCCCATGATTAACAATAAGCACAGTAGTTTTTTATATTCACTACATATTTCAGTCAATTGTAGAGTGGTAAAGATGTGGCCCACTATAGAATTCTTGCCTCCTCCCTACTAACACACATCAAAGATGTGGATCAGTTTATCCTCATGTTAGTCTTATAAAAAGTTTATATAGGTGGGAAAGTAGTAGCAAATCAATAGTAGATGTTCTCTTAGTC